CCCCCCCCCAAGTCATCGGTGAACGAAACTGCGGCAGCTACAATCACTGTACGACGAGTACGCGGTTATTACAGCTGACAATGATGATGATGATGATGACCAGCCATGATCGCTTTGCCATGAGCATGCTCAGTCTCTAGTGACAGCTGTGATGGGCTACAATTAGAAGGGAAATCGAGCCTATTGTTTTCTCATTAACAGGGACTATCCAGAATAATCGTATCAGAAAGCCGACTAGGCTAACGAGAGTAAAGGAGATGAAGAATCATCGTAGAGTCTTTCGTCTGTTCAGTGCCAGTGCTATTCTAATCGAAGATTACGGCCCACCGTTGCAAATATGTAACGCAAGGATAGAATGGCTTATTGATTTGCGCTACCCCTCCTCTGTGGAAGCTCGAGACCAGATAACCGAAGTAGATGGGTCTGAACGCAGTCAATCAGCGGAGGACTGTGTGTACTGATCACCTCGTACCGAATCACTGCTGATGTTCACGATAAGAGTTACGTAACTCCTGCAGTCAGAAGCACAGTTTGATCCTATTTCACAGTTTACAAAGACTTGGAGGAGAATGTAATCCTCAGTCAGGTGAAAAATACTTGGAACCGATTGAGTAGTCATCGTTTTCGAAAAATTTGGTGATGATCTACCGATTGTCACCAAACTTTTTCGAAAAGAATGTAATCCTGTCTTGGGCTGATTGAGACAGCCAACTTGCTTGTACTGGGTAACCTATAACAATTCTCTTCAGAATTGAACTTTATATTCCAAAATGATAGCGCAGTTGCCTCATTTAGATAAAACGCACCCGCGACTACCAGTGCATTGAATGAGAAAAGATAAGAAGACGGTCTAGTACACTGAACCATTGGAATGAAAAATGTACCGCTGCGGCCATGTAAGTTTACACACTGTATCCAAATGGATACTGTAGCCACACAGATTCGGTTTCCTCTGCGTGCTAAGCTGATTATATAAACAACGTTGGAGAGACGGAAAAGCGGACAGAGTTGAACTCACCGGTTTTAACCACATTGGGAGCAATTCGGCTACTAGCCGGCTTGTGACGTGAGACAATTCGGATGCGGCTGCATTAGCCATACGAACAGTGAGTGCCCATTCTTTGATCAAGTCATACGGTGACCGGAGAGCCCCGCCATACGAAATTCGGATACTATTCAGATCGCAGCGAAACGGTGAACACATGGGCCTCGGTGTGAGAAAGTCAGTTAGCTGACTTAGCGGAACGGTGGATAAAACGGATAACTGGCGAGAATCTTCAGCAGCGGTTGACATTTTGACGGCGCATTCTGTGAGGACTGGAAGTGGGGTGGGAGCAGGCAGAACCCAAAATGTTAGATGTGCTTACTCGTGCTGATTATTATTTTAGTGATTGGTGTTCATCAGTCAGGGAACCTTGATCCCAGCTCTAGTTTTAATTCGGAGCCAACCAGGATAAGATTACGATAACACCATCAATTCCAGCTTTCAACAAAGCCTGTGAGCAGCGTTTGGATAAGGAGAATATATTCGATCGCAGGGAACAGAAGGAAAGGGTAATCAAATAGTAATCCCTACAAAGCATAATAACATTGGAATCGGAGGTACTTGGCAGAGGGTAAGGGGTCTGCGGGGTTGACGTACATATAAATGCGGTTGACGGAGAACGCTATTGTGGAATTTTTGAGAAGTGACCCCTCCTCAGACGGGTCTATCCCAGGGGGGGGGGCAGTAAAAAATACATCGAGAGCTAAGGCTTGATGGGATAGACACACCTGTTTGTGAGCACAGGCCCACCGTCCGGGCCAATGCGTAGCGCGGTACGTGAAAAGCACCAATCGTGATTCATCTGCTTGCCCTCACCAACATAACAAACGACAACTGATCGAGGTCAAGCAGCCTAAAATAACAGAGCTAGCGAATGATGTCTTCAGACTCTACATTGTGATTCAAGTCGCAGGGAAGAACAAACGATAAGGTGAGCTAAGTGAGTGCAGCTGAAAAATTAGTTCTTTCTTCAGTCCGCCAGGGACTGAAGTGGAGTGGAAAAATACTGGAAAACTAGGATACACACCTGAGATTGTTGATTTCTTACACGTAACTGAAACTAAAATTTGTACCGCTTATCATGAAATGACTCGACAGTTTCTCGTAAGCGTCACGAAACATAAGCTCACAATCGGTCAAGATCAAATCGCACAGGCTACTGGGGTCGCAGTGCAGCGTCAAGGACATCTGTCCGAAAACGGTCAAGGAAGATTGGACAGAGTATACGTGATGTCCGTCTGTTATGAATGAGAGCATGAACCTGGCGCAAGAACCACTACATGTAGAAAGCTCACTGATCATCTGATAAACAAAAGGTTAGCAACGATAAAAACTGCATGAAAACTGCGTTGGACATCAGCATATTATAATGAGCAAATCTGAAGAACTCTTTTCTTGCAGGGTCATTTTGGGGTTTCTCCTCTTTAGCATGGCGGGGAGGTCCGTAGATATATGCACTGAAAAAGCTCAGGAGTTAGAGGATTACCGCTTAAGACGTTGCCATCCCTATCTCCTTAGTTCCACTATTAATACTAGAGTTCAGGACAACCGGTGGTGAGACAAATTCGCATTCGTGGTTAGGGACTCGAGCTTGCATACTTCGTTGCCATCCTCCTTGCTTCACGTTCTAAAGCTTACATCTTAGTGTTCCATTTTTCACCCTCAAGCAGCTTTTAAATCCGTTTGGAGGGTCACCACACACATGTGAGGGGGCTTTGATAGATACACCTCGGAGACGAACCATTGGAAAGCGCAGTGCATGACTAACCATGAAAGCAACCAAGGTTTAAATTTTCCGCAAGAGAATGTGCAACGGATGAAAAGAGTATGGAATCGATTATTCTGATAATAACTCCTCGTTACGCACACGCAGTTCGCATGCACGACATTGATAAGAGCAGGCCTTACGGAAGCAAACTGCTGAAAAAGAGAAGTCAACGACCCAAATGCACGTCATAAAATCAAGATAGTGACTAACAAATTCATGTTCATGCGGGAACTACAACTAAAGAGCTCTAAAATACACTCACTCTTCTTTAACACCATTTCGCATCGATCGAACAGATGTTGCTTGAATGCAGCTAACGCATGGAGACAACAAACTGAAACATAAAAGGAGGAGTGTAGACGATTCAGCTGGCAAGATAACAGCGAAAGCCAATGGACTGTGCATAAACAATGAATCTAAGGAGAGGAAAAGAGGCCTGGCCTGAGGACTGTGTTTATCATTCAGCTCAAATGCCATGTGTATACAGGCACGTAATCACTGGATTACGCACTCAACAACTGAAGACTAGCCGACACTAAGAGGAGGGCCGACGTAAATAAACTATCGACAAACTACAAGTAGCTGAGAAAAAACGATTCACACGATGAGTTGACCTTCGCTCGAGGAACCAGTCAACAGGTGACCACATGAGGTGGATTCTGTCATTGGAGGATGACCGGCGGTATATCCTATCTAGATGCAAGTTAATCACACTGCTGGTTGAGCGTCTAAGCGCTCAAGTTACTAGCCAGGATGTTGCAAGTTCAAATCTCTCTGGTAATTCATGATAAGGACACAGCTAGTGATTCTCAATAAGTAAGAAGCAGCTGTGAAGTTTCGGCTTTTCGGTATAGACAACAACCAACACATCGCTACGCACTACTACGTTCCTAACAAGGCAGTGATGATGAAATCTCGATTGGTGATGAAACGTTTGCAATCGAATTGCCCAGCTCAGCGAACAAATCAACGACCATCTACTCTAGCTGAGCTACCAATATTTTCCTCTATAGAAGACTGCACTTACAGAACGAAATACCAATTGAGAATCGACAATAACAGTGGTGAACAAAACGGAAAGGCCAATTGCAGGGTGGGGATCTAAAGTGGGATCAGACTGTACTTCAGCTGACCTGATTTTTTTCACGTTCTATGCGAGAACAAGACATGACTGCAGGTTAAGTCGTGCGCTGCTCGCTACTTGACACAGTTACCGGCTGTCTCGCATTTATCTCTGTTCATCTCTGCTCACAGTTCGAATCAGCCAGTACAACGGGAATACATCGTTATCTCCTCCGGATTACCATGCCTTCCTCACTGCCCAGATCGAGCTCTCCACCAAGTTCTATGTCATCACCATCATTGTCAGCTGTAATAACCGCATACTCGTCGTACAGCGGTTGTAGCTGCCACATTTCCGTTCACCGATGAGTTGGGGGGGGGGGGGGGGGCGGCCGGCCACGCGCGATAAATTGGTGCATAAATCCAGCACTGTCAGTGGACTGTCAGTTGGAGGGATTGGGAAGGGAGCTACGCATTGAAGGCAATAGCTTGGATGCACGAGCGCCATTGAGGGCGCGACTGGGCCATATCTGACAATGTCTCCGGCCATTGATGTGGTCCGTCTCGGGGTACCCATCCAGGAAGACGGTAGTGACCAGCGCAGCTGAGTTTGCTGGTAATGGCTTTCATACTTCGCTGCCAAGACATCGTTTGACCGCCTCTGGCTCTCTTCCAATCCTCAAATGGTTGTGCGAAAACAGCCCTTTGAGGAAGTCGGCCGACTGGCATACGCAGCACGTGGCCAGGCCAGCGCAACCTATGCAGTGTGATCAGTTCATCTATGTACATACTGCATTAGAGTAACAGTATCTCAAAGAAGAATAACAGTCTGTTCCGAAACCCGTTTGCGCTGGACGAAGTGGGTTGATCAGACGTTGACAGAATTAAAAAGCCATACAAATAGGGAGGCACAGGAGATTGAATAAATAGACGCTAACATAAATCACGTGTTCCATCGTTTTTTTGTTAAGACACTGGGGTGTCCCACGGTGCACAGAAATTCATTTACTAGAGAAAGCGGAGGAACCAACATGCAAAGTGGTGGTGAGCAAGTGGATACGATATGATATATCGTTAAACAGGGTTACGGCTACCGGATCGAACGTACCGTGAAAATCCATGTAGCCCCGTTTATGCCAGTTAGCCAAACCCACACAGTCGTTTAAGGCTATCGAGTCGACCCGTTCAGTTATGGATTTCCACGTGTCCGAACAGAAGTCTGATTCTGGATTGCGCAGTGTGGCTGCAGCCAAAAGTATCAGTCTACCTAGGTGTACTGTTGCAGATGCCGTTTTACTGCTGCGCTCTCCCAAGGTGTCCGAGTATTTGTAGAGAGAATCCAATCGTTCCTCAGTCTCTGGATCCAATAATTCATCGAGCAACTCAACCATAACAGGAAATTCAACAGGCGGGCCAATTAAACTCGATGAGATGAAGAAAGGGAGACCAACAACTAGAAAGCGCAAAAAACAGAGGTTGTGTGAGAGTACAATTCAATGGAACTACGTAGAAAACAAAGGTGAAAATTCGTTAACGAAAAGTCAAATACACATGAAGATAACGCAAGCGTGAAAACGTTCAAGTGATCAGATAATTCGTGGGTGGTGGACTAGCACGCAAACATATACACCTCGCATGTAAGAGTCATGAGGTCCACACCATGGTCAGAGACTGGGATGAAGAAAGAAAGACCCGAATGCGTATCCGTATCAAACTCAGATACGACAAGCTTGAATTTTCGAGTCAGTTGTTTGAAGTAGATAGGGAGACGCGAGGGCTGGGATACTGCCACGCCTCCCAAGCCTAGACAGGGGAAGTCGAGAGGCAGCGGTCGGGTTCGAACCGGTCCAGTAAATTCTACTCTAACCACGTGGTCCATCTCGCTCCCGGTCAGTTGTTTGTTCCAACTCCGCAGCTGAGGGTAGCAAAGGACAATGCATAGTGCTTATCGCAAGTCACATTAACAACGAAGTCACAGGTCAGGTGAACGGACTACACTAGTTATTCGAGTTGGACTCACAAGCACTCCAAACTAAGGTGATCACAATGGACGCCAAAATTAGATGGTTTCTTCTTCCGTAAGGATAAACCAAAGAAGTCGCACCAAAACACAAGTGCTGTCCAAACGATATTGTGGTCTCCAAGTCTATCAAGCCAATTCCCACAAGCACATAATGTTGCTGAGTAGTACTTTACCACAGGTGCCTAAAAGTTAGTTACAGTTGTTCCTTTCTAGTAGTTGTTTTGGCGGGAGGATGTACTACCGAAATGAATTCCAAGGGCCCAACTACAGTTGGTCAGTTTTGAAGAGTAGCCCACCCCCAAGGGGAAAGGTAACTACGTCTAGTTATTAGGAGATAAGCAATATAGACAATGAAATGGAAAACAGGCACCAAATTAACTACATTCTAAAGTACCGTAGAAAATATATATCCTTCTTGTGCCATCCGATGATAGGTGATCATAATGATCTACTTCGATTTCGCTTCCAAAGACGATGGAAATTCAACCACGCTAACCTAGTCATTCTGAAACAGCAACCAAAAAATCCCGGAAACATCTGCATATTTGTGCACTGAGATAAATCATCAACAGGGGGAGCTTTGTTCTTTTGTTAGAGACCATAACGGTCGGCGAACTTACAGTTGGGAAATGATTTCAATTTAGCCTGCCACGAGAAACAACAATGTACTTCATTGGATCACCAGTACGGAGTGCATGGAAAGTTGAATTCGTCAATAGCACAAGGATGTGCTATTTGTAGAGTTAGTCAAAAAGGATTTTGCCGATGATGCAATGTCCATGAATCTGATCATTCTTCGTGCAAAGGAAGATGAAAGTGAAAGTTGTATCCATTCCTCTTAAATTCCGTTTGTGTTCAAATAACAGAGTGACTCACAAGCTTATCAGATCAGCGGCAAATCGCGACACATGTTGGTTACTACACACACCAGAAGCACCCAACCTGAGGTAAAGCACCAAAACAATAAAGTCAATCGAGTTCCCTGACTACAGTAGATTGAAGATGTTAAGCCTAAATCCAACTGTCTCACTGAATACTGGTCTACAGAAGTAGCCGCTGTAATGCTCAAGTAGGAATGGTTTAGGTGTGCATGTAAAATTACCCACTTGATCGTGTATACGCTAGAAACCATGTTATCTTCCACATGGAACTGCATTACTGATATTCAGCGGGTACCCGCCGTCACGAAGAGACTGGACCTTACCGTGGTGTGACGGTTTGCGCACCTCAGCGATCCATTGAGCTATACTGGAGAGTGTCCCACGACACTCACAGAGTCTCTCATACCAGTTTGGTCAATGGTTAGAGGTCTGACAAACACAGTCTCCTGGCCCTCCAGGTTGCGGGTTGGAACATGTGGCGACTTGTTCCGTAGAAATGGTAATGCATTTGCATTTACCGCCAAACACCGCTGCCTTGCGGTTAGGCTTTTGAGCCAAAGGCTTTGGTTGAGGACCCTAATCGTCCTCCTGTCTAGGTGTGGGCGCCCTGGCAGTATCCCAGCCCTCGTACAACCATGAATTGCACATACACAAATAAACTCATGCCACCTCGGCCGTCGCGTGTACGGCAGTGAAGCATCAGTGTTGAACACTGATGTCATGCTGTCGATGATGATGATGATGAGCCGGTACCCAGAAGTTGGAGGTTGACAATGGTAACCAATACCTAATTACTCAAAGCAACCACACTAGTTCACTGTGCCGAAAGGTGGAAACCACTACCTGAACTAAGCGAGGCACCAATAGAGTATTTGAATAGACAGCAACCCTGTCAGAAACGCTTGGGTGACACAACAGTAATCGCGCCACAACAATCTTTGACGGTTGCTGACGTGTTACTAAAAGCCAAAAACAACCGAACACACCTCAGTAACATAAAAACAGGGTCATGCAACAACACGGTACTTACTGAGGAAACGTTCAATCTGCGAACGCAGTAGCAATTCTAACGCATACGGGTTAGACGGTTCGCTCTTCAATACGAGGATGCACAGATCGGGAAGGCCGGTCAAACCTTCAGGAGTCTGTTTTTTTTAAGGCAAAAAAGTTTAACCGTAAACGAAGGTAAGGCTGATAAACCAGTGACCGACGCAAGTCACAGTGCAACATGACAGCGCCCATTATTCAACGATTTCACAGCCTCTCCCCAAAAAGGGGCGAACCGTGGGAAGTTACATGAAGGAAGGAATAAGGGGTAATGCGTTACAGTCGTACATAGTGAGATCACGTCAGTTTTATAAAGCTTACAAGTCCATAAAAAAAACCTCGGTCCAGAATGGATCTAAACATGAATATAACGCATAGACAGGTGGCACCAACAGACCTTGCGGATCACTGATTTCGCTCGGCAATGAGTTATTTGTTAGAGGGAAAGATTACAATATTGTTTTACCATCAAGCACACGGTTCGCCCCTGTAAATCTCATCACAACCACTGTCGCTTTTTTCGTTAGAAAACCTCTTCACTTTTCTGACGTTTGCGTGCATGGTGTACGGTGTCCACGGAGAATGCTGCTTGATCTAAAAAGTTGAATAAAATTGAATGGTTTCCATCCACAACGAACATCTAGTTCCACCTGTAACGAAACTTGCGCAGAGTAAAGCTGGAGGCTGGTTAGCACAGGCCGACCACACGCAACTTTCCTCCTATTCGAATTTGCGGTCCCGATAAATGACTTGGTGCAAGAACAACAAGCACGCCCTGTAGTGACTTAGCGCTAAATGGTGGAAAGGAGGGACTAGATCTTCGGTAGAATAGATGACCAGATTAGTCTTCTAAAGTGTCGACATAAACTACTGGCTATGACAGACTAGTGAAAAACTGGGACTACAGAAAGTGGTATCAGAAGAAACCAATTTCTGCAAAAGTCAAAAGAAACCAGTTATGAAACTTGCCTCTAGTCGATAGCGAACCAGCACTTCGATCAACAATCGGGTGCAGCTTAAACGTTTCTCCTCGAACTGCGGCCTATGTGAGAATGAGGATAAAATTTATAGGGTCTAAGTGAAATTATGCTAGGCAGTATTTTAATGACTTACAGTTGATAAATATCGAGGAAATCCTGTGAATGTCCATCAGAAAAGCACCGAAAAGCTCAACCGTCTGCTCAAACTCACTCAATATAGAATTTCATAAGCTCCAAACACACACAAACGGCTGTTTGATAGAACCGGTCCAAATTCTTGGTGCACAGTTGCAGTAATCCCTTGAGTACGGAGGGAGAAGAGGTACGATGAAAGTGAAAACAAAAGAAGCCGTA